AAAAAAAAACTTTAACTATTTCCTTTAGAAAAAATTCGTACACATAATCAACTGGTCCGTCGAAACTTTTTATGAATGGGTCCTTGATTTGTGACGTACGGGCAATTTGTCCAAAAGAAAACAAGAAAATTAGATTCGGAAGTGATTATCATCACACTATTAATCATTTTTTTATATATATTGTATCGTGAATCTTCTTTTATATACATAGGATTGAATGTCAAATTTGTCTTTAATTTGATCAGGGATAGAAATAAGTTTGTAGTTTAGTTAGAAGCCAAAAACAGTAGAGGGCTTAAATAGGTCGCGAAAAGGCAAGTCATGTTATGGAAATTTGGTCATTACGCTTGTAATTGTATTACTGTTCCTGAAAAAGATATTATTGAATGCAAAAAGAAAGACGATAACGTTTTCTTCCACTAAACAAAATTGGAATATTTTAACATATCACGGTGATTACGAATTTATCATTCATCTAAAATCACTTTATATATGTATTTGAACTTGCCCTTTTTGAATAAAATTGATTTGTATTGTCTATTGCGTCATTATTTACTATATAGTTTTCGATATTATTAACTATTGTCTATTATTTACTTACAACAATAACAAAATACATTTTTTTGAATAAAATATAAAAGTTATTCGAAAAAAACGTTTTTACATCAAATGCAACGATTGGTTAAAAGTTTTGTATACATTTCATAAGACTATTTTTTTTATGCTTATCTTGAAGACTAAAACAAACCAAGCTTCTGTACATCCATTATATTTTTAATGCAGCATACACAACTACAAAAATAACAAAATATCAATTTGGAAATATCTTTTTGTTAATAATAGATGCAAAACATATGCACGTGTGTTATACATGAATATTTGAATGTTATTTCTTCGTAAATATAGAATGAATCCAGATGCTGGAAACCTTAGGGAACGCTGGTGTAATGTTCTTTCAAATATTCACTCTTACGATTAATTCAATAATTTTAGGTAATTAGTAACAATTCGGAAAAAGTATCTAATGGATCATCTCTTAACAAAGATAATGAAGACGTATTCATATAGTTTATCTCATTCGAATTGGATTCCAAAAATCAGATTAGATTTTAGGTAAGAATCCGGCTTGCATATCATAATTAGATGTGGCCGTTCTAGATTTGACAAAAATAGGTTTATGATTTATCACACAAATGTTATAGTCTCTGCGACCACATTTGCTTCCCAAGTGTGTAGTTTTAACTTTTAACGCATCACTAATATTTTATTCTATAGACTATAGGCCTCTGCGCTAGTCTCTATTTGATACGCTACAACGTTATTGATGGTCGTTTGATAAATAATATTAACTCTGTAAACTGTCTAACCAACACATCAAACATTCATTACGCTCAATTGTAGTCGATCGTGGTAAGTGTTATTCAAAGATATGTGTGTCTTCTCATCGTCTATCTTCTTATGTTTTAAGTTCATTTTTTTTGTCAGCCTGGTTGTTTTCTAGATTCGTTTCCGTCCAAAGTATTTCTATATATTCAGAAGATATATTTATTTATTTAAAATATTTTTACTCCAAATTATTACTTGCCAAAATCATTTCATTTTTCTTTGTGAAAATCTAAAGAAGATAAGCTATTTTGTTCTTTGCTGCAGTTAGCTATTTATTGTTTGTACAAGACAACATTGGCCCTTTCTATTTTTGTTCCTTCTTCTGTCCCAAACAAAAAACACTCTTCTTTATGTCTCCCCCTCTCACAATTATGATTTCAATCAATCAACACTAATTTGACCACAATCGCTGGAAATACAAAAAGTAATTTGTGGTGGCGAAAAAAATATATATACATAATTCTCCTGTTGTGTATATAACTTTCTTAAAATTTGATTTGAAAGTTTTTTTTTTTTATGACAATAATTGAAGAAAATCACGAAGCGTGTCATCAAGAAATTGTTGGATATACTTAATTCCAATGACTGAGGAAATAACCAAATCAACATAAACAAAAACAAATAATTAGACTACAACTTTTGTCTCTTTCTTTCTTTTGCATATTTTTGTCCCTATATATACGCACTAATCACTTTCTTAAATTTATAGATGAGTTTTTTATATGGATAGATACGGTTTAACTTCTACATATGAATACAATATATCATATTAATTAATACCTCAACTTCAATCTGAGATTATACATAGTTTGACAACCCATATCATGTGTATGTATCTTATCTTGCATAAATCAAATAATAAATTGTATTTTTTTTTTCTTACAAAAGAAGGAAATGGCGGGACCTCTATAATTTTCTAGAGGGTTAGTTTGTTCGTATTGTATTAATCCAAAAAACAAGTAGAATAACCAATAAGATTGGACCAGAACAAGAGCTTTAACATATGCTTTTGCCTCCTCTTGGTCTCGACTCCACCACTATAAATAAAACTCTCTAACTCTTCCAATCTCCCCATCACCAAACATCACACTTCTCATAAGAAAAATACACAAACATCTATCAGATTTATAAATTTTTAAAAACAAGATCAGCAAGATGCCTGCAATGTTAACAGATGTGTTTAGAGGGCATCCCATTCACCTCCCACACTCTCACCAACCTGACTTCACTTCCCTCCGTGAGCTCCCGGATTCTTACAAGTGGACCCCTAAAGACGATCTCCTCTTCGCCGCTGCTCCTTCTCCTCCGACCACCGGTGAAAACATCCCTCTCATCGACCTGGACCACCCGGACGCGGCCAACCAAATCGGCCATGCATGTAGAACTTGGGGTGCCTTCCAGATCGCAAACCACGGCGTGCCTTTGGGACTTCTCCAAGACATTGAGTTTCTCACCGGTAGCCTCTTCCGGCTACCTGTCCAGCGCAAGCTTAAGGCTGCCCGGTCGGAGACAGGTGTCTCCGGTTATGGCGTCGCTCGTATCGCGTCTTTCTTCAATAAGAAAATGTGGTCCGAAGGTTTCACCATCACTGGTTCCCCTCTCAACGATTTCCGTAAACTTTGGCCCCAACTTCACCTCAACTACTGGTATATATTTCAAACACTCAATCCTATATACTTATACTTATAAATGGGTGAATTTAAATTTGTATTTAAAAGTTTTTCTACATTAACGAAAACGTTATAAATAAGGACACAATTTTTATATTTAAGGTAGAACATCCACAAACGTTGGACGCCCTATAGGTAGTAACAAGGGGCATAGATAACAGAAGCAACCGAAATTTGCCATGTCCTCGGAGTTTAGTGGATTTAAGAGTTAAGTGCATAATGAAATCTAGTGTAGTAGTGGACCCACCTTAAAGATTTTGAAGATATATGTTTGTTATCGTATCGGAGAAAACAAAACCAAAAAACCCCAACTTGCTTTCTTGTTTTAATTTTTTATTCAAAGGTCGTACACATATTTAATGTAGTCTAAATCTCATCTGTACTAATTAGTGAATACAATTCGTTTTTAATTAACAGCGACATCGTTGAAGAGTACGAGGAACAGATGAAAAAGTTGGCATCGAAATTGATGTGGTTAGCACTAAAATCACTTGGGGTCAGCGAAGAGGACGTTGAATGGGCCAGTCTAAATTCAGATTTAAATTGGGCCCAAGCTGCTCTCCAGCTAAATCACTACCCGGTTTGTCCTGAACCGGACCGAGCTATGGGTCTAGCAGCTCATACCGACTCCACCCTCCTAACCATTCTGTGCCAGAACAATACCGCCGGTCTACAAGTATTTCGCGATGATCTTGGTTGGGTCACCGTGCCACCGGTTCCTGGCTCGCTTGTGGTCAACGTTGGTGACCTCTTCCACATCTTATCCAACGGATTGTTTAAAAGCGTGCTGCACCGCGCTAGGGTTAACCAAACCAGAGCCCGGTTATCTGTAGCATTCCTTTGGGGTCCACAATCTGATATCAAGATATCACCTGTCCCGAAGCTGGTTAGTCCGGTTGAATTGCCTCTATACCGATCGGTCACATGGACAGAGTATCTTCGAACAAAAGCAACTCACTTCAATAAAGCTCTTTCAATGATTAGAAATCACAGAGAGGAATGATTAATCATGAGATAATAATATTTGTGATCCGCTAGTTAGTTTGATTAATAAATTGTTGTTAATTATTTCAGCAATATGATTGATTAGTTGTCCTCAATCGTATCTGAATTGCATTACATACATATCAATTACAATTCGCAAAAAAATCTAGCACTTTCTGGAATCGTCCCATGACATGTTGCCACTAATGAGAATCTCATCAAAATATGAAATTCTGCAATTATGCGTTGAGGGTCCCAAGAAATTCTATGATTGAAACACTAAAGAAATCTATTTTATTGACATTAAGGACAAACTACACGGTGTTATTTTCAGAATCCCACCACAATTCATCTTGTTTGGTTGCTATTTGTCAGATTGTCTGAAAATAAATTGACAAAGCACATCTAAAGACAAGCCTATGTCTACTCTAAAAAGAAAACGAAAATGACGAAAACAAATTCATTATATTATCTTATCTTAATCAAGCAATATCCTCTGTCTCGATGTGTGCAGAAGAATATGGCCCATGCAGATTTATGGAACTTTTGGTGTTGATTGTTATTGATTAGACAAGAAATTAACTATTTCGTATAATGGAGACTTCAAGTGGAGTTCTGTTTTAATTCTCACAACCAAACTGCAAAAAAAGAAGAAAACAAGAAAAAGGATCAAGGGTAACTATTAGTCAAGGCCCATGGTAATATAAACAAGAAACGATTGGCGCAGAGACATAATTGGGATAAAAAATTAAACGAGAGACAAATTGTTTATATGTTAAAGTATGATCAAATAAACATTCAGTACAATATTTGGAGTTCGATCAAATTACGAAAAAACTAGTCTCGATTTTGCTATGCGCGTGTTAAATACATATAATTGTCTTTTTAAACACAAGCATTAAATGCTTGTTAGGTGAAATTCGATAATATGTATTAAATACATACAGACATTTATTATATATTCCTTAAATTTGAACGATATCAAAAACTTCTCTCAAATTTAACAAAATATTTTTTACTATTGAGGACACGTAATCCAGATACCATTGAGGACAAAGCCCATTATAGAGGCAAACAAGGACAAAATAGTATCTAACTATATAACTAAACAGATAGAGAAGAGAGTAGACACATTGAGTTTCAAATATATATACACATGATAAAGGCAGACATTTTATTATAATAAGATCACGAAAGTGATGAATTTTGGTGGAAAATGATCAGGTTTGTGGGATGCCACAAAAGGCCTTGGTCATGGTACGATGAGCCTTGAGATGAGCTCCCAATGTTTCATAGTACTCAAGAAGTCCATCATGGTGAAAGGGCTTGTACGCTAAAGGATGGTCCTTGTCCACCATTTCTTCCGGTGTCGATATCATCCCTTTTTGGAACGAAAAGAACCCTAACGAGTACCTCATTTCCACGCTTTCCATCTCCACCTTGTGGTAACACGCCTTGATTCTGTCGTTGCTCCACGCCTGATGATTTGATATACACACATGATTTGACATTAATTATTATATGGAAACTTGGACCGATTGATAAATTTAAGCTTACCATGATGGCATCGCCTGCTATAACAACAAACCGAGTTGGTGAAGGAGTAAAAGGATACCAAACATCCTCTTTCTCGGATTTCAACATGAGTCCTGTGATATGGTTCTGATGGAGAATGGAGATGAAGCTCTTGTCGGTATGAGAAATAAACTTCCTGTTGGGTTCTCCATTAGGGAGTCTCTTGTATTTCATCAATCGAAGAAGGTACCTTGTTCCTCCAATGTATTTATCTGCATGCTTCTCCACGTTATAGCTCTCGAAGAGCATCCTTATTACCAGTTGCTCCAGTTCTGCTTGCATTTTCGCATATGCATGAACAGTTTCACTATAACATATCATATATATATTGTTAATACATGCATATAGTAACAACGTACGACTTTTGATTATGTTATGTTGTTTGATAAACATATACCAGAAACGGTCGTTGTCATGATGATCATCAGACCACATGAGACGAGTGAATCGGCGGCACTGTTGGACATCGTTGACTTGGTCAATACCAAGACCTTCGTGAACGGGCTGACCATCGGAGATCATGGTGATGTAGCCGTGCCTGGCCTTGTGGCTCTCGTTCTTTATCTTGATTTCGGGAGGAAGATCGAGTAGTTCCTTAGCGGCCTCCAAAATCGAGTGGTGAAGTTCCGTGGGAAAGTTGTTGTACTCAGCCACAAACCATCCATGGTGTTCCATGGCTTTACGGACGCTGTCTCTCGTCGAGTTCCAAAGCTCTGTGTTCTGTTTTAGGTTCTTGTCAGAAAGGTTGATGATCGGAAGCTCTCTAGTTTCATTCCCACCCATTTTTAACTATCCTAAGCATCATAGTTAGTTAATAAGAAAAGAATTAGAAAAACCATACAATGTAATAAACTGTGTATATATTGTTCATAATATATGATCCATGAAAATAAATTCATTAACAAAAAGCTTACCTTTATTTTACTCAGCTCTAGGAAATTTTTAGTTTACTTACTGATATGACTAATGTATAAACGATGATGTGTTTTATACTCGCACTGAAATATGCTTCATACCCAAACGGATGTAAAATGTCAGTTTGCATAGATGCTTTTCCTTGGCGTTTTGTCCCAATCAATCCATTTTAAATCCACATGTCGCTATAAATAAATATACGTACACACATGGAAAAAAAAAAGTCGATAAGGCCGTATTTGTGCGTTATTGGGCTAATTTAGGTCTAAAGGCACACGTAACTCAAATAACTCCAACTAAAGCCCATTACTGTATTTTTGGAACCGAGTGGGGTTAAGTCTACAATCTAATTAATTAACCGATCGAGACTGGGTTTGACATTGTCCTAATTTCTCAACTGTTAAGAATACCATTTGACTTTCAAAGCCGCCGACGTTGACCACCGTCTCTCCCTATCTCACTTATTTCGCTTTGGTTGAATATTTTGTAGAGAAAAGAAGAAATCTCGACGGTTTCCCCAAATTATTCACATTTCTCCTCTCACCGGAAAACTCTACACAGATGTGGTGGCACTGGCCATCCCCTCTCCTCCTTATCCTCATCTTTGCTGCTTCTCTCCTCCCTTCCTCTTCCGCCATTGATTTTCTCTACAATTCCTTCAGCTCTGTAACCAACAGAACCGACGTAATCCTCATCGAAGATTCCCGCGTAGACTCCAGCGTCATCAGCTTCATCAACGAGTCCGATCCTTTCTCTTTCGGCCGCGTTTTTTACCCACAAAAGCTCTCAATTATACCCGATCCAACACGAAACCCGACCCGACTCTCTTCTTTCTCAACTTCCTTCGTCTTCTCTATTCTCCCTGACATATCCACAACTCCTGGCTTTGGCCTCTGCTTCGTCCTCTCCAATTCCACCTCTCCTCCAAACGCTCTCTCCAGCCAATACTTCGGTCTCTTCACTAATGCCACCGTCCGATTCAACGCTCCTCTCCTCGCCGTCGAATTCGACACCGGTCGAAACTCTGAAGTCAACGACATCGACGATAACCACATCGGAATTGACCTTAACAACATCGAATCCACCACATCCGTAACCGCTGGCTACTACGATTCTGTTAATGGAAGCTTCCTTCGCTTCAATATGCGTAACGGAAACAACGTTCGAGCTTGGATCGATTTCGATGGCCCTAACTTCCAGATCAACGTTTCCGTCGCTCCCGTCGGTGTTCTTCGACCTCGCCGGCCAACGCTTACTTTCCGTGATCCGGTTATCGCTAATTATGTCTCGGCAGATATGTATGTCGGCTTCTCTGCTTCCAAAACCAATTGGAATGAAGCTCGAAGGATTCTAGCTTGGAGCTTGAGTGATACTGGAACTCTTCGAGAGATCAACACAACCAATTTACCTGTTTTCTTCCTGGAAAATTCTTCGTCTTCTCTTTCAACTGGAGCAATCGCCGGGATCGTTATCGGTTGTGTTGTCTTCGTAGGTCTACTTGGATTTGGTGGTTATATGATTTGGAGGAAACTGATGAGAGAGGAAGAAGAAGAAGAGATCGAGGAGTGGGAGTTAGAGTTTTGGCCTCACCGTTTCAGCTATGAAGAACTCGCTGCAGCTACGGAGGTTTTCTCTAACGATCGTCTTCTTGGATCTGGCGGATTTGGTAAAGTCTACAGAGGAATTTTGTCAAACAACAGTGAGATAGCTGTTAAATGCGTGAACCATGATTCGAAGCAAGGTTTGAGAGAATTCATGGCGGAGATTTCGAGTATGGGTCGGTTACAGCATAAGAATCTAGTTCAAATGAGAGGATGGTGTCGCCGGAAAAACGAGCTGATGCTTGTCTACGATTACATGCCAAACGGAAGTCTCAATCAGTGGATTTTTGATAACCCTAAAGAGCCAATGCCGTGGCGGAGAAGGCGTCAGGTGATTAACGATGTTGCGGAAGGGCTTAACTATCTCCACCATGGATGGGACCAAGTGGTGATTCACAGAGATATCAAATCAAGTAACATTCTTTTGGATTCTGAGATGCGTGGGAGGCTTGGGGACTTTGGTTTAGCCAAGCTGTACGAGCACGGTGGGGCTCCAAACACGACACGCGTGGTGGGCACGTTAGGGTATTTGGCGCCGGAGCTTGCGTCTGCGTCGGCGCCTACGGAGGCGAGTGATGTGTATAGTTTTGGTGTGGTGGTGTTGGAGGTTGTTTGTGGGAGGAGGCCGATAGAGTACGCGGAGGAGGAAGATATGGTACTTGTGGATTGGGTTAGGGATTTGTACAACGGAGGAAGAGTGGTTGATGCGGCGGATGAGAGAGTGAGGAGCGAGTGTGAGACGATGGAGGAAGTTGAATTGTTACTGAAGCTAGGTCTGGCTTGTTGTCACCCTGATCCAGCTAAGCGGCCGAATATGAGAGAGATCGTCTCACTCTTGCTTGGCTCACCACAAGAGGATTTGTTGACTGGACTCACGCCGGCAGCCGCCGCAGACTCTACGGCTGCTCACGCATGAGTTGTTTTTGTTTTCGTTACCTTGTTTTGTCTTGTGAGGAATAGTTGAGGACTGATTTACACATGTTGGTATATGGGCCAATAGGCCTGTTAATATTATTGAAAAGCCTATTTAGATGCCCATCAATGTTTCAGTCCAGAAACATAATCGTCCTTTTCGTGGACATAGAAGCGGCAATGTAATCACGTACGGTATGAGTTGTGATTAGGAAAGGATTAATTGCATTCATTATTGAGTTGATTGCTACTCAGAGCCGGCTTTTGAGGGAAGCATGTGCTTGCGGCCCTCTATAAATATATAAATTTTCGGCCCCATTTTTGACTAAAATCTTATGTAGCTATGTTGGTTAAGTATAGAGGTTTGGTAATTAGAGGTGGGAGGTTCGATTCTCCCAATCCTTTTTTTTTTTCGTCTGAATAATTATATTAAACCTTCGAAAGATACAAAGATCGGCGGAAAGAGTTAATATCCCCGATAAGAAGAGTCGGCGGAAAATAGTGATATCCCCGAAGACAAAAGCCCAAAAGAGGGAAGCTAACAAACAACCAAATACAAGACCATAAGCTAAACTTAGAAAACTAATCGATAAACCTCCAATGATTGAAATAACTAGAAAACACAAGAATCTCAAAGGAAAAGGCCTGAACTTGAAGCTAAGGGATCGACGCACAAATGCCTTATTTGTCTTGTGGAGAGGAACCGAATCAAAACCCATGAATAGCTCCTCTCTCTGCTGAAAGAATTTATAGAGCTTTGGGTAGTATTAAACGTTCCAAACCAACCCCGAGAAGACGATAAACTCAAGTGGAAGAGATACCGCATATGATGGCAAAATAGCGACCCACGAACTCCAAACGAAGCAAATCTTGAAGATACAGAAGAACCAGCCAAAGAAGATGAGCAAAGAGCCAATGGCAAAAGGCATCGAGTCCGTCTCACCACACGAGAGATTTTCCAGGACATTCGATACAAAACACAACACCAAGGCAGAGGAACAATGGCCAGAACCGAAACTTCACTCAAACAAGATTCAACCACAGAACAGACAAAAACCCCACAAAAATAAGACTCTGAGAAATAAAAAACAATCAGGAGGAGAAACCGCTATCCATAGCAACTAACCCACAAACTAAGACACGAACAATAACTAAGGCCACCAACAAGCAAACCGGGGATAAACCAAACAAGCTTGACTTGAAGAGATTGAAATCAATTACCAGTCAAGAAATCAACACCACCATCCCCACATAAGAACCCACTCCGACAAGCACCATCGACCACCGCGACGGACCAGATCAGGATCTTCAATGGTAGAGCGAGACTCCGACAAAACAACAATAGAAAACGAATCCAAGGCGAAACGGAACCAAACACAAGAGGTAGATCGAGCAAGACAGCTGAAACTCCGAAAGCTTTAACGGAACTACACCTTGAACCAGAGTAACTCCGCCTCCGATCTCGTCGAGAGAAGCCAAAACCACTCGAAAACTACAAAGCCGATGAGAACGATACTAAAGAAAGAAGAAAAAACAACTAAAAACACACACGAGGCACAACGCCGGGGCTGTAAAGCCACCGGACGTTGGCCGAGAACAAACGGCGGCTTTTAGTTTGATAGAGAAGATAGGTGGGAGAGAATTAGGTTTTTTGAGGCGTGAAATTGTGTTTTTTCGATTCTCCCAATCCTTTCAATTAATTTTTATTTTTGTTTTTAAAGTAGTTTATAGGCCATAATTTTTTTCCGGCTTGTGGCCCAATATTTTTAGAGCCGGCTCTGTTGGTACTGTAACAAAAATAATACAGGGAGGTTTTCAGAAGTTAAACTCACATTTTGGATGCTTTAAATATGGAGCATGATAATATTAGTAAGGCGTCAAACAAGGATGAAATAGTATTTCACTATAGAACCAAACAGAAAGAGAACGGTAGCCGTTTGAGTTTTGTAACACACCTACAAATTAGATAGGAACAGAATGTTCGACCAATAAATATGATTCGCAACAAGTACCAAATCACCTGTTTTAGTTAATTATTGGCCTACCAATAATTAATTGGTTTCATCCGCCTAAGCGACTTTCCGGTTTAGGACGTTCTCGATAAAATTGGAATATTTGAAAATGGCAACTTCTAAGAAAGTGGTGGTCTCGTTAGGGGTTTTGAGCATGTTAACGAAGACCAACTTTCAATTCCTGGTCCAATTAGAATCTTCGACTCAGACTAATAAAAAAGATTAAAAAAAACGGTCAACTGCACTGTACTTATTTTTTACACATGTTTACCATTAAAAAAAAAAAATCTTTATTTATGACTATCCTGATCCTGGTTACTACTTTACTAGTATATATACTTAATTTCTAAATTGAGAAGTCAATTTATATTTACACATAACCTACTAAAACCCAAACACATAAACATTATCTGATTATCTTTTAAAATGCAGTTTAGTTTTAAGAAATCAAAAGAAGATACTAAGACTATTATTTTATTATTTCAAGATAAAAAGTCCAAAGAGGATACAATTCAATTAAAAATGGTGGACTACGAACAAGAGGGCTGCTAAGGCAACTTAACGAGAATCTTCAACGTCTAAAACTCTCACTATCTATCTTTTCTCCTCACGTTACTATTTTACATCTTTTCTCGCCTTGAATTCTTATATTGCATTTATCTTTAATCTTATTTTCTTGTGGAACACTTAATTTTAGGATAAGTAACTAATCATTTACATGCTAATAGTAAATTTTCGGGTAACACTCCGTTTTCTAAGCGTTAAATTGGAGTTTATAGCATTTGAGAGAATCCGAATTTTACCGTTGAAAGAATAAAAAGATGGTTAAGGAATCCAATTTCACTATTTTCTATCATTTTTCTACACCATGTAAATTTAGTTTATATGTAT